TGCTGCTGCATCCGTTACTACCTGAGGCGACGTAGCCGAAACCTGCGGGATAAACAGAGAAATCCCATTCCAGCGATGCAAGTGAATTACCTCCCTTATCCTAACCAATTTGTCCTGCGGCAACCTGGCCTGCATGGCCGCAGTGTCCAGGACAATGCCCAGAAACGTGAGGACCGTGCTGGGACCCTCCACCTTGTTGGACGCCACCGGGACGTTGAGCGAATCAAAAGTTTCTAACAAAAATCCTAGGTCAACCGGTGACCTGTGAGGGGACTCCACCAGCAGAAAGTCGTCTAAGTAATGCAAAACCTTCTGGCAATGGACATGGTGCTCGAGCAACCAGTGAAGGGCCTGAGCAAAGGTATCAAACAACCAGGGACTGCTCTTTGACCCGAACGTCAGTTTGGTAGCGAAGTAATACAGCCCCCTCCATCTTACCCCATGCCATTGCCACAACGAAGGTTCGATGGGCAACAGCTTGAACGCATCCGATATATCTGCTTTGGACAACCATGCCCCCTGCCCAGCCTGTAATATATACTGCACCGCCTGGTCGACGGAGGAGTACTTGAGGGTAAACTCCTCGGAAGGTATCAATGCATTCAGACTAGGTATAGCAACAGAATGAGGGGCAGACAAGTCATAAATTAGACGAAATTTATTTGAAAGCTTGCCACAGACCAGACCAATAGGACTAACTCTCCATGACACAAATGGAGATACCACAAAAGGGGCCTATAACGAAACCCTTGTCGAGCTCTGCCTGAAGCAATGTATCCACCCTGTCCGGCTCGGCCAGTGCCGACCGTAGATTGTCACATTTGTATGTGGCCTGAGGCAACGCTACCAGCCCCGTGTGAAACCCAGACACGAAACCCGCCGTCAGGAAAGCAGCTAATGAGGGATCCGGGTGACCCTGCAAGTAGACCGCCAACACCCCCACGTTGACTCGGCTTAGACACGACTGCCATGGGGCTTTCAAAGTGCAGCTAAACTTGGCTAAACTTGGAGACTCATGTGAGCGGACGTGGCTGAGAGAGCTCCGGCATGAGATCCTGATAATATCCTCAACATCTTCACTAATACTGTTTGATAGACACCTACGTACCTTCCCTGTAAACACCGGACCCCTCGAGACTGACAGGTACCGCTCGGTCATTCTCCGTTTTCTCAGGATGACGAGAACCAACGATGCGGCCCTCATTGGAGGTATGGACCTGCAAGATGGCCGCGGCACGCGTGCGCCAGCCCAGACTCCTCGTAAACAACAGAGGGATCGTTCCAGGGATGTCGCCTCGAGACTCGAGCAGTTTGCAAGGGGGACACCGAGAGGACCATGTCGCAAGCTGCGAGTGACAGATGAGGGGGGCAGTGCCCAGCTGGCATCTCGCTCAGCTACTGGCACCGATGGCTCAGATCCTGAAGATGGAGCGCTGAGTGACACATGTGCTCCCCCCTCTACCAAGAAAAAAAAAGAATAAGCCCCGCAGGTCTTCCCCGCAGCCCACGCTCAAAGATGTTTTCTCGGCCATACAACGCTGCAACTCATCCATATCCTCCCTCACCGACCAAGTACATGGGATGCGGGCGGATATATGGTTCCTACGGCATGACCTCCAAAAGGTCCGAGACAGAACAATCAGGGGTTTTGAGGCTTGGCGCCAGAGGGGTATTCACAAACTCGCAGATGTCTACTCCTCTGGCTCTATTAAAAGCTTTCCACAGCTGCAATCGCAATATCAGCTACAAATGTCACACTTCGATCAGTACCTACAACTGAGACATGAGACATGCCTTGTCCACTCATCCAGGAATCAAGGGGGTTCTGATCTCTCCCCTTCAAATCGCTGAGTTCAGTGATACTTTCCACCAATACAAAAGGGCTGATCTCTAGGATATATGCACTTCTCCTTCTGCGCTTTTTGGTAAGGTATCCGCTAGGTGTGGACAGGTCCTCCATACTTTTAATGATTTCAAACCCGTGAAAACATTACTCACATACTGTAAGAGCCCATGCAAATATGAGTTGCGCTAACACACGTGCCAACACAATACAGTATCGTACTTCAAAGGAGAACTATAAGGCGAGTGATTTATACTCACCCTCATAGTTCGAGCCAACGTGTGACATTGAAACTGTCACAGGTCGGCTAAGTAGATTGGGAAGTGAGCGAACACATACCGTCGCTCGCTCACTTCCTGATCATCTCCCTGCAGAGAGCAGTGACCGTCAATAACTGCTCCCCGCAGGGATTCCCCCTCTCCGATCCTCCAACGCTGACTAGAGGAACGGACGGGGGAGGGGGCGGGCACAGCAGGCTCTGCCTCTAGATAGGCAGAGCCCTCTGTCAATCAGACAGCTGGGTGGATCTCGACAGTATTGTCGGAATCCATCCCGGCTGCAGCACTCACAGTATATAGCTAAAGAGAACTATGGGATAAAAAGATTACCCCATAGTTCTCTTTTAAGGCACTCCAGGTTAAGGCAGCCTAGCCTGAAACTTCACGAAGAATCACACATTACCTTTTAACACAGTGCACCGCAACTCAGACCATGTGTGTAAGGCCTTTTGCCTGCAATTGTAACAGTACATTGATGTGCCATTCAAAATAAGTGGCCGTGCAACAGAATGGTGAACACAATACCATGAACTTCAGTTGCATAGCTTTCTCAGAGTTAATGCAATGCCTAAATGTGAATAGACTCTCAATAGTAAATTGTTGCTTTTATACAAACAGATCATTTATTCCCGATGAAATATATGAATAACTAATTTATGAAAACTGAGCTATTGCACCATCCTCTGGGCATGTTAAGGGCCACGATTGTGGCCCCCTATATTAAATAAGTTGACCACAACTGATATAAGGGGTCTACAAGCAATAGTGTAAGATGTGCTTAGTCTTCACCTAAGCCTCAAATCTTGGGACAGGAATTGGTTGCATGCTGGGCAAAGTTACAGTATCCCCACCCTGAAAAGTATGAACTGGGAAATTTTTAGCTGAGATTTAGAGCTGTCAAACCCCAGTCGCTCTGGTCAGGGAAGAAGATGATGGAGCATTCTGTGCTGACTTATTTAAGCAAAATGCAGGAGTAATGTTAGGGGTCCAATGAGGACACTTGTTCCAGTGACAGCTGCCCAAGAGAGGATATTCCTTACATTGCAAAGCTATCCTTTCACTTTTATTGAGTCTACAGGACAGGAACCGAAGGCAAAATTGACAGAATGAATGGCAAAAAAGGTTTGGATTTAGATATACTTTCACACTAGAACCTTTTCAGATTTGGATACATTGGTCCTGTTTTTTTTTTAATTATTGCTGTCTGATTAGGGTACACACAAAGGCAATTTGTGCTAGCTACTCACAATCGCTCTGAATGTGTGCAATCTCTACTACATCCAACTGTATGTATAGAGATTTCCCATCAATTTGTGGCATGGTGTTAGGTAAAGTAGCCACCCTCAAGAAGGTAGGACAGTGTCAGCATGAATTCACAGATGATTGGAGGATCTACAGCTGAGTGATACACAAATAAGATACATTTGTGTTAAAAGATAAAAAAGGTACTTGAATGTTTTTTTAAAGATTTAACACATAAAAGTTTAGGGTCATTATGAAGTGTTTTTTAAAATCCGCAATGCGTGCAACTAACACAACTTCCCGCCTGTGCACAAAAAAAAAAGTGAAATTGTGAAACCACAACACACCAAATAAACCGTGGATGAGGGTGCTTTTGGGCCTCCACCGACGAGGAAGGGCCACGAAACCCTGAACCCCCAGGATGCAAGGCTCCTGACAGGGGCAAGGACAACTCAAGTCCACCTAACCTAAGTCAGACAGACCCCGATCCTCAGGGTCCTACCGAACCAGGTAGAGGTTCTCCTGAACAGAGACCCCTGAGTGGGGGGGAGGTAGAGAAACCCACATAGGCCACAGAACCTTCCCCCTAACATCAGGATGGACTCCAAAAGGTACCCACACCCTCCGTCGTCTGTGGAGTCAAAAGGTGCTCACTCGTGCATAAAAATTGTGCTTAAAATAAATAGGGTGCCAGTGTACTAGCCTGGCAGGCCTTCCGGTCAAGGTTAAAAAATTGGCCCAGTCTAGCCAAAAGGCCTACCCAAGAGGTGTGGTACAGAAAATGCTTTAGATGTTGTGACCTAGTGTCAGTAAATCACTGTGGGGTCCCACTCCCACGTGATTTTCCAGCACACCCTGGGAAGCCATCCAAGGGGGCACAGCACCACGGGCCTATGTGCTCCCCGAACTCTACAGCCAGACAAGAGCACCCCCATTCCCACCAGAAGGGTTCCTGCCTACAACTGGGGATAAGCCCAGCATAACCAGGCCAGAATCAACCCAGGAGGAAAAGGAAACCCCTCCGGCACCCACCAGAGAATACTAGACAACCATCTCCCGGTTTGAAAATGGCATCATTCTTCCCCAAAAACTGATAAGAACAGATACAACACTTGATTTTAGCCAAAAGGCTGAGAAGCCTCATTTTAAAAAAGGTAATACTAAAAGGGAAACCTTTTTTTTTTAGATGTGGATATAGTACTGTGGCTTAAGGACCACTGTCAGGTTTTTATGGCAGTCTGTGGGAGATTCACCCTCTATAATTGTCCTGATCACCAATGTCACCAGGAATGAAAATGAGGAATATCCAAAACACTGAGTTGTCACCAGCACAGGAATAGAAGGGAAAACTTCCAATGGGGACACTTGTTCCTGTGACAGCTGTCTAAGAGGGGATCTGCCTCACATTGGAAAGATAAACTCTCACTTCCTGTTCAGTCTACAGGGCAGGACGTATGGGGAAACCTACTTAATGTGACACAGATGGCAAATATAAACTGACAGCGTTGGCATTAGATATAGTTTGACAGCTTTGAACCCCCAGGACCATCAGTCAAGATGTAACTGTAGCATTTGCACAATGTGACCCATGCCCATTTAAAAAGAAATATAAACAGAAAAATAAAACCCATTGTTACCTCTTTCAGAAACTGTTCAAACTGGTCGTCCAGCTCCTCTTTGGTTAGGCGATGGGACATAGCTGGTCCTGGAAGTGCTCCCTAGGCAAGCACAATGACCTACACAATAATAAGGAATACGTCATGCAGTCACCGGACAATGTAGACATGCAGTAAGTAAAGCCTATGTGGCCCGTGCTGCCATTACGTCACGGTACATACCAGACACCGGACACTTGCGGATTACACACCACAGCTGTATACTCGTAACCGGGGACAACACTTCCCTGCCGCCTGCATTCCCGCCCACCTCACTTTGGGTCAACCAATACAACCTCTTTATCCAACCACCAGTAAAAATGCAGCCCCAGCCGCTCCCACTGCTGATGACGGAGAGCGGCGAGCTGTGATTGGCTGTTTTTGTGGCTGGTTGAGTAGCTGGTTGGATTAGAACGGTGACGGTTGATGGCTGTGGGTCGTACTGTGGCCGTGTAATGTGTTGTTAGAATGAATGGCGAGGGGAGAGTAATATTCTACAGCTGCTGTGTGATCTGTATCCGAAAGCTTGTATGTTATTCTTGTCATTTGAACTTGATTTTGTTATATGTACCGCCTGAGCCGTGGTGATATAATTTTATAACGAATAAAATGCTTCTCGTTGCCATTTTTATTTATATTACACATAAAAATCAGTAATATAATAGAAAACGTATGACCAGAAGAAGTGGAAAAAAATAACTGGAGTTTGACTTGGTATTTAGGGCTCATTCAGCTGGACATGCACCTCTGTACAGCATGCTCGCCCATAAAATGACCCAACTTCGGAAGGATCCAAGTGCAGGCACCCAGGCCCGACAGATGTGCATATGACCGTATACAGACATGCACGCCGTCCGAATGTGCACTTAGGACCTATTTAGGTCTGTGTGTGTGCGCATTTATGTAGCATAAGGCCTCAAGCACATAGACACATGAGGACGCTGAACGTAAATTGTAGGCACATTTCCGCTAGGGTTGCCACCTTTTCTTCAAGTGAAACCCCAACACTAGCGCTGTGTGCTGCAATATTTTTTTTATGTGCAGAATATAGAGGAGAGGCAGTCAGGAGAAAGAGCAAGAAGAGACAGTCAGGGGAGGGATTAAGGAAACTACAAATCCCAGCAATACAAAATAATATGAAGCTACATGAGTTTTCCAGGGGTGGTGCCCTGATGTCCCAGGGTCTCAGGTGGCCTGTGCGGGCTCTCAGGTAGACACCTTGGGCTCTCAAGTGGACACTATGGGCTCTCAGGTGGACTCTGCAGACTCTCAGGTGGCTGTGTGGACTCTCAGGTGGGCTATGCTCAGGTGGTGTATGTGCGCTCTCAGATAGGCTATGCGGGCTCTCAGGTGGGCTATGCGAGCTCTTAGGTGGCTGTGTGGGGATTCAGGTAGGCTATGCGGGCTTTCGTGGGCTTTACAAACTCTCTGGTGGGCTACGCTCACTTTTAGGTGGGCTATGCAGGCTCTCAGATGGCTGTGTGGGGTCTGAGATGGGCTATGCAGGGTCTCAGTTGGGCTTATGCGGACTCGCAGGTGGTTGTGTGGGGTCTCAGGTGGGCTATGCAAGCTCTCAGTTGGCTGTGTGGGGTCTCAGGTTGGCAATGCAAGCTTTCAGGTGGCTGTGCGGGGGTCTAACCAGGGGTCTGGAGGCGGGCAGCATGGTGTCTGCGCCTGTATAAAGATGCCCGCGGCTCACGGGAAGGTGCCGATTCAGGCAGATGCCACTGCTTGAGGTCCTTGCTGGGAACCTCGGCAACCGCATCTGTCAAAAAATGTAAAGTGTCGGCATCGGCACTTAGTGTCTTATGTTTCAAGACTCGAAAACCGGACTGGACTGGACCCACACAGCCCCACAATACCAAGTGACGAGGTAGCATGGAGCCTACTTCCCATGCAAACAGGAAGTTGGAGGCCGAGTCATTACCCGCACCTGATTGGCTGGGAAGCCAGCTCCATGCTCCCTGGTGACGATTGAGCATGGAGCCGGCTTCTCGGCCAATCAGGAAGCCGGGCGGCGTGTAATGAATCGCCGCCCGGCTTCCTGATACCAGAAAGTTCCGGTATTGGGATAAGTATCTGGAGCATTTGTACGAGTACTCACCCAAATACTCTGTATCAATGCAGGACAGCAATGATCCATTGAAGCTTAAACAACTGCTTAGGACCCTCTGACTTTGTGGTCAGAACCATGGGACTACCCCTCTACAGACACTAAAAATGGGGTACCCACCTCCTCTAAATACGCCCCTCTCTCTTCAGCATAAAAAAATAAAGGTGAGACAAAGTCCCCTAACCCTTTCCTCCTCCCAGGATTTGAGGAAGATTAACATCTTTGTGGGAGTGATTATATTAAGTTTACTCCCACGAAAAAGGATATTTACTTATCCCAGAAGTACAAAACACCTGCCTCACAGAAATCAAGGCCCTTCAGGTAGATTTACGACATCTTGCAGAATGGATAACAAGAAGAATGAACTCCAATCTACAAAAAGAGAAGTCCATATGATGCATTCAAAAGTCCTCACTCAAAGTTCCACAATTCAGGATATCCAAAGACATTTAGAAGATTTAGGCAACATAGTTTTCAAAAACAACATCAGAATCAAAAGACTACCAGAAGCTACAAACCAGGAAGATCCCCAAGACAGTCTGCAGTCGATCTTTAATAATATTCTAGTGGTATCTTGATCTCATCACATAGAAAAAGATTGTGCACTACGTTCACAAGGTCACCCATCGCAGCCAAGAGATTTGCAAAATTAATTCATATATGCTTGAGGAAGACCTAATTTGCAAAGTGTGTAACATGCATAACATAAAATTTGCTAGAGCACCAATACAATTCTAATCAGAACTTTCCTGGCTCATTCAACAACAATGCAGACTGCTTTGACCACTCCTGACAAACCTCAGAGATGTCAACATCCCTTATGGTTAGGGCTTACAATTCTAGAAAAAATGGTACCTGCATGAATCTATGACTAGCCTTTTTGGCAGGGAGCACATTGGGAAGGCTTACAACAATACGGAACACAAAAAATCCCCAGCTTCACCTGCCAGCTAGCCTGCAACCAAACAAGTAGCCCTGTCAACAGTATGCGTTAAAATCAGAGGTTTTAGTTGCACAAACTTTTGGCCAAAAATATGTAGAAGCCACACCGCCGCGCCAAGGCACCTCTGCAAAGTGTGGTCCCTGCCAAAAAGACTGGTTATAGATTCATGCCGGTACAATTTTTTCTAGTTTGACTATTTTTGGTTGTGGGGACGCACTGGGGTCCCAGCGTGCATTCTACAATGCTGGGCCCCCCGGTGCGTCCCAGCACCTTATTAGGAGGAGTTGGCTACCTCCAGGTACACCTGTATGCAATTTATAGACTGCATTAATATGCTCACACTTGGAGACTCATATACATGGAGTTAGGACCACACTTTGCAGAGGTGCCTTGGCGCGGCGGTGTGGCTTCTACATATTTTTGGCCAAAAGTTTGTGCAACTAAAACTTTTGATTTTAACGCATACTGTTGACAGGGCAATTTGTTTGGTTGCAGGCTAGCTGGCAGGTGAAGCTGGGGATTTTTTGTGTTCTGTATTCTTACAATTCTCCTGCCAGGAGGGATGGCAAATTGTCTACTCTCAAGTTCCCTAGGAACATACCTGCCTTTTGCAAGGATTTGGACATCCCCTCCCAAAAACTTCTGGGATGGGATTCGCTGCCACTGCTACCCCCTAAACCACCTATCTGGCATAAAGGCACCTCAGGAAAACACCCTCACACATTGGAATCTGCCAAAGCCTCTGTACTTCATATTTTCTAGAAACTGACAGATAGCTCATACCTCCTCTCACAGCCAAGACATTTCCTTAGAAGAATCGCCTATATTGCAAAGAAGCTTTTTCTACCTAATTTCCCTGATTACCTCCCCTCTTTCTTTCTTCTCCCTTACGACCTTACCCCTCTACCCCATCTTCTAATGAAGCTAATAAGGACTTTGTGCATGTCAACATACTTGACCTACAGGGGACCTTCAACATCCCCACAAATTGCTTTGTGAGACATCTAATGATTTTGTGTACTATCTCTCAACCTCATTTGACGTTCTGGTCCACCTAAGCCACATTTCCTGGGGTGGGAAGTTGGCCTGGGTGGGCTAATAACTACATCTTTCCATATTTTTTTCTATAATGATTAAACACCTGTATGTAACTGGGGGATAGGACCCTGGGAGGACGTCTGTTGTAGTTTCTGCAAGCACCACTGGATGTCACTGTTCACCCTGGTTTTGCCATCGTGCAATTATGTGAGTTTACTTTTATGAGTAGTCCCGCACAAGGGTTTTCTAGATAGCCTTGATATCTTTCAACCATACTCTATAGGAGGAACTAAAAAGGCCTGATGGGAGAATGAGATCCCAAGGATGGGATTGATTGGAGACAGCAATGATGCAACTTAAGTCTTTACCTCATAAATTATGGCCTAATAAAGCTGCTTACATAGTGTTCATTGAGTCATTACAGTATTTCTTGTTCTCTTCTCTGAAATGATATACAAGATAAAACCTGCTTTGTTTCTCCCTCTGAAACTAGGGCCCTATAAATCTGCTTACGTACTGTGCATTAATTGCACAATGTTTCTGGCTATTTTTTGGGAAATGATACTTTATAATTGTTATTATATTTATTCTTGATAACACACGGCTCATCTCTCCTTTTGAAATTGGGGCCTAAAAAAGCTGCTTACATACTATGCATCGACTGTAACATACTGTATTTCTGCTATTTTCCTGTGAAATATTTTTTTCAGTTCAGTACTGGATACATATTTTTTGTTTGATGTCTTCAATAAGATAATCTCCTTATAGATCTGCTTAACAAATCTGTTATATGTGTTAATTATTATTTCTTGGTCTCTGCCATTGGGTTCCTTGAGTGAGACTTCCAACTCCTTTGAAGTGTCGGTGTCCACCTTTTCCATTAGCTATCATTACCCTCCCTCCACATTCTCAGAAGAACCCAAGGATACATTTGAGGCCAAACCAAAAAGCTTTTTTACAGCAAAGAACCATGTGCAGCTAATG